TACCAAGCCTGCATCAAACCAGAGGTTCGCTGAACCATTTGTTGACAAAGACGTTTGGCAATAGACAAGGGAATGCCAGTAGTCTTTTGACGCAGTTAAAGCAGATCTCACTTCCTTCAGTTCAATTCGAACTTGGAAATCCTTTTGCCTCGGACGCTTCCAATTACGGTATCGATGCCGTTATTTCCCGCCTTCTTATGAACGGAGGTGAGAAGGCTATTGCACACGCGACACGGTCCATAGTCTCAGCTGAGAAGAATAGTCAGATTGAAAGGAAAGCACTCGCAATTCTTTTCGCCATGAGGCGATTCCACATGGCTCTATGGCAGAAATTTCACTCTCCTGACTGATCATAAGCCGTTACTGTCGATATTCTACTTACAAAAAGGAATTCCCGTTTTCACCGCCAGTCAGTTATAAAGTATGACGACTATACTGTTGGCGTACGATTTCAGTACACAGTATCGGCCAAGCGGATGCCCTGTCTCGTCTCATCAATTCGTACCCAAAGGAGAACGATGATTGTGTGATTGCAGCCATCAAGTTCGAGTCATAAGTCCAGCGAATGCTGGCCGATACTGTAAGAGGATTATCCGCACGGAGAGTTCCCGAGACAGAACCCTAGAGAAAGTGCTGCATTACATGCAAACAGGTTGGGTAAAAGGTAGTATCCCTGATCACTTGCGGCCCTTCTTTACGTGGTTCACTGTCCGTTGTGGATAATTGTTTGATTTTTGGTGACCGAGTTGTGGTGCCAAAGAAATTGAACTGACAAGTCTTACAGCAGTTTCATACCGGGCATCCAAGTGCCAACCGTATGAAAGTTATTGTTATGTTGATATCCCCAGCAACTATCCAACGGGACTTGTAAAGTAACGCTTCTTAACCCGTATGAATTCATTGTTCATTGTTATTGGCCCGGAATGAATTCAGAAAGTGAACAATTCTGCCAAGAATATGAATGCTGTTAACTAGCGGCCAAGACCCCTCCCAAGTGCTCCTGGCAACCTTGGCCTAAAGCTTAGAAGCCATGACAGCGAATCCACTTAGAATATGCAGGACCAATCACCGGTCAATCCTTTCTTGTTTTGGTTCACTCTTTCTCCAAATGGCCCGATGCAAAGTCCGACTGCCCAGCTCACAATCAACGAGCTGGATAAGCTGTTCCAGTATTTCGACCTGCCAGAGATGATAGTGACAGACAACAGTACACAATTCACCCCGACTTCCTTCCGCGTGTAGTGCGAGGAGAAAGGAATTCAGCAATCGTTCTCACCACCCTATCATCCTCAATCAAACGGACAGGCGGAACGGTTCGCGGATACCTTCAAACGTGCTATTTGTGAAGCGGGACAAAACGAGGTCCCGAAGGATGCGATCCAGTTTTTCTTGTGCATGTGTCTGGATGTGTCAACCCCAAACGCTCCAGAAGGAAAAGCGTCTGCCGAAATTTTGTTTGAACGAAGCATTCGAAGTTGTTGACTTTGTGTCAAGCAGGAAAGAGAGGCATTGCAGTTGTCAAGGAGAGAAAACTCTGGTAGGTGCTCCGTCATTTCAACATTGGTGATATGATGTCCGCGCGAGACTTCGCAGGAGGTGGTCGACAGGAAGAATGATCCGCAGAATTGGTCGAGTCATCTACGAGCTAATGGTAGGAAATAAGAAATGGGTCAGAGACGCCAGTCAGCTAATTCCGAATTACGACAAGGCTTAAAGTCCCTCAAAACTTCCATCCTTACCGTGGGACATTCTGCTAGACACGTTTGATTTGGCAGACGAAGCTGAGCGGCTACGTGGATCACGACAGGAGCTGCAAGTAACAAATGACGTGCATTGCGGGCCGAATCGAAACCGGCGACGACCACAATCGCTATGAGTTGACCCCAAGGCGAAAAGCTTTGAACAAAGTCGAGTTCGAACGGTACGCAACCCGACTCAGTTCGAAGGGGGAGGTATTCGGAGACCGCAACCTAAGCACGTGACACGGTTTCGAGTCGTAAAATGGGCCTGTGGCAAGTCACACGAAAGCTGATGAAATCAGTCCGTCATCATGACACAGGTTGCTACGCGACAGGCGTGAATGAGTGCGGCTACAACTAGCCCGTGCGGATCGCTAGTAGGTTTGGAATCTGTCCATACAAGTGGCGTGAGTCAGCTCAGAAACGTGTAGCCGGAGATAATAGCATGTGACCTATAAAGTTGGTCGTGTCCTATTCCTAATACACTTCGGTCTAGCAGACCTCGGTGTTTTGTTTGTGCCCCGGCTGGGTTGGCAGCGTACAGACGGTGACAGCGTTACAATGTTATTATTATTATTACTAATATTGTTATTATATTGAAATGTGTTAAAGTAACTGGAATCACCACATGTCGGTGCTCAGATCACAGTTGATGAGCAGAACTACTGTTGTTTGCAATTCCACCCTTTTGTTGATTCAGGCACTCCTTTGTTTGTGTCCGTCCCAATTATGGAGAATTTCCGAATCGAGAGTCAGCCTGAACTCAAATAGGCATGAACATGAAAATGCTTCGACGACATATGGCGATTTTCGTTCGCGTAACCAATCGGTTCTCATAAACATTTATTCCGCTTTCCCCAGATTAAAAGGTAATCGGAAAGTATGCTTGCCTCTAACCTATGGGCTGCGCAATTAGGCTCCCAGTTATCGGTATCTCTCGCTGATATTGACTATGTTACATGAGAACCTTCCGCGGTATCTGTGATCTGAGCTGTAGCCCAACGACATCGCAAAACCCCACTTTGTACTGAAGACTCATCGTTACTGTACGGAATGGTAACTCGCTGTGAAAAACCCGGGAGATGCTCCACCATCCATCACCACCATTTTTGTCGACCATACCAGCAACAACACTTTTCACCATTATTTCATTTACAAAAATTATCCCTTGATCCTACGATTGGGTAATAGTGAGGGAATGGACGAGGGGCTTAATGTTGGTTCTTTCTCCTCTCTAACAAATCTTCGTGACCAAAACATCAGGTGACCGTAGACAAGCCTATCATACCAATCTAAAGTGGCATCCGTGAGACATTTTCACTAGCCCCTATCTTTAATGGTCACAGGCCTGCCTTTTACTCCGAGGGGGCTGCTTCGAGCCTATGTAGGGATCGGGCGATGCTCGCAGTATTTGAACGCATTTGCGATTGGTAGTGGTTCCGCAGCGGCGAAGCGTCGGCACTTCGCACCGGCATACTGCTGATACTTTGATGGGACATTTTCTTTGTGGCGTTCACTTTCCTGCGTTATAATCACTCATCCTACGTATGTTTCCACGCGTTGCAATCTAATAAACGAGCCGTTATTTGTTGTTAGCGATGCGCTTCAGTAAATTGCACTTAATGCAGGGTGGATTTCATGGGCATGGAAAGCGAGATGGACCAGCGTCGTCATCGCAAACAACACTAGTATGTCAGTAAGTTAACCTGCCATGCAACCATAATAGCCCGTGGAATGACGAATAATAAGTGGGGTAAGAGACTTAGCGTAAAGCCTAATTGCCATAAGCAGATATCCAGATCCAAAGCGTCCGCATCTTCCCAGCAACTTGTGATCGCCAACAGCTATCATGCAAATGTAATGCAGTTATCACCTGTTCACGCCATAATAAACTTTGTCCCACTGATTGCTGAACATTACATGCCCTTTAACCACGCCGTCAGATTATAGAACAACACCAAACGCGCCACTGGTGTCGGCTGTAAGTTATGTCCTGTTAGGCCCCTTACTAAACATAAAGTTTGTTGAAAAATATCAAGTTCTTCACCTGGACTCCACCCGGTAGGGCGAGTGGAACCATTAGCACCTAATTTAAACGGAAGTGACTTCATCTCCCGCTACTAACTCAGCTTTCGACTCACTCGAGTCTTGTGCCGTTCAACAGATGTTAGACAAAATATCACTCTTATAGGTAAGCGATGAGCAGACATACATGACATACACGCAAGCCAACGCAATCTATTTACTGCTCGAAAAAGACCAACCGAGTTACTTTCACCTACTAATCATAGGCGTGCATCGTCGTTGAGATCACACTGGTACCATTCGATGTTTGGGATGCTCCGTTGCTACTCAGTCCACTGTTAGTTGACTTAATTTTCTAGTGTTTGGTCGTTTTCTGGTCTCTGAAACGTCACGCTGCCCAATGTCTATTCTTCCCTGCATTATAAGCCTATGCGTTGTTGTTCGTCTGGTTTGGCTGCTGCGTAGGTTCTTCATTGGAAATCGGTTTATTCAGCAAAGAGGAGTTCGAGAAAATGACAGTACCTTCCACCGAGAAGTGCCAGCACTTTTCGAACCGGTCCAGCCTCTTCCTTTCGTTAAGTTGAACAATCGCGCATTCATACTTCAAATGATTTACTAAGCGCCTAGGCAAACGGCGCTACCCGGGACTCCCAAGAACCGCATTCGTTAGGCCCCCTTCCAATTGTTTACTAAACTCGTCATCTGAGCCGATTAAATACTCCCATCAGACTAGGAACCATGTCATCAGCCGGGATAAATTCTAATAATTACTCAGACCAGCTGTTGTGGTTGCCCTGTTCAACTTGGTGCCCTTGAGCAGGTCGTTGCTCTTGTTGTATTTGTCCTCATCTCCATCGCTCTATACCAGTTATTCTTTCGTTCCTTTACTGCCTTTCTACGATTGTCCCGTTTTTTCATTTTTTGTCCTCGCTGATCATTTTACTATAGTGGTGCGAAGTAAAGCAACCGGACGCATTACAAATCAACCCGATGTATATTTGCTTGGCTCGACTATCACTAGATTCAGTACGTGTCTACTCTATTGATTTCGTCTCCATATTTTCGACTAACTGTTTTCCGGCTTTCACGGCCTCAATTGTTCCCTTGCTGTTTACTGCTCTTTTTGAATCTGCTTCCGCTTGAAAGTTTCACAAGTTTTTTGACAAGTGAACATTCTTCACAACAGCTATTGCGGTAGCTAAACAATGCCTATCCGCTCTCCCTTATTGTATTAAGCACATTCGCAAACATACCAGAGCAGACGTGGTCCGCTTTCATTCCAACTGCCCAAAAGCTAACTCAGGCTTTGGATTGCACATCGAATGGGACCGACTCAACCGTTACAAATTTGGAACAACCCAAATCAAAGAAGCGGAAGCACTCCACTCTGGAAGAGGATGAAGCACTTCCAGTGAAATCTACCGGCCCCCTTCGAGCGCTGTGTTGTGCCTTGGCGCAACTCAGCGGTAGACACGGTGTCGTTGAGTCTCGTTCTTTGTTTAACGATCAGAAGGGCTGGACTACTTTCAAGTTGGAAATATCTTCCGTGGCACATCGTAAAGGCGAGGCTTACGCAGCACTTCGTCAGCAACTACCAGAATCCATGCTGAGTAACCTAAAGAATATGTCTTTCATTAAAGGCCATAAAGTAAGTCATGTTACTAAATGATCTCTTTATTACCTTCCCAGCTGGATTCCGATCCGTTTTGATGACCCAATTGCCCCATTAACTTACTGTCAGTGGTTAGGTTCATTACAAAATTAGATGTTGTGAGTTTTCAACAGGGATTATTGCTGGCCGGTCTCCATTACCATTTTATCATGAATGCATTCTAGATTACGCAGCGGTGTCTCACGATATGTTGCGACCTCCGAATACAACTACTGCTTTGGCCATTGCCTCGGTTCTACTTTCAAGGCAATTGTCCTAATGATGTGAAGTTTAGGTAGTGTCTCCGATTCACCGGCCCACCGCACTGATCTGTGCCCCACTGTTGCACTACATGTTGCTTTGTCGTACTGAAATCTCATTCCTTCCTGAGGCGTTTATGGGTTCACCATCGGTTACACGCTGGGACGCATTTGTTAATGTATCCATCGAGCGGCTTGAGCTGCGCTTGCGTTTTGACGGCATTTTTGACCTTCAACATCTTTGAAAATCAGTTTATCATGGTAGTTTTTTCTTTGTTTGTCTTTTAATGATGAGCGAGAACAACTTTTCCATTCTAAAGTATCGTGCCACGAATTGGATGACAGTCTAAAGATCTACGAGATGCTTCTTTGTGTCCGCGACGGTGGGTGAATTGCGTCTAGACTGCCCTATCTCTCAATTTCTTTTCAACTTAGTGACCCAAATGACTTACCCTTTCCTGACTCTTTTCACATCCGTCGATCCGCAGCTCCGTTTCTTGACCATTCATTAAATCTAAATATGCAGTCCTTTGGCTGCACTCAGATTTTTTGCAATACACTGCTGAGCACACGTGTAGCTCTGTGCACTTCGGCATGTGCTTTACATCCTCAAGGTGCCCGTTCCTGTTACATTGCAAGTCCGGCTCACTGTCAGTTCTCGGTATCACCGAATATCCAAGGCTATTGGTCATTTTCATCTGGGTAGGGTTCCCGTATCCGAAGGGGTTACTCACGCATTGTTAAGGATCATGTGGTCTTTCACGCACTTATGTGGACGGCGAACTGAACGTTACCCTATTAAAGGAAGCGTTTACAACACTACGATGTTATCACTGCATGACTGGCGGCCACTAAGTGTTGTAGGATTAACTGTGCTTACCGCCTACACTTTCAAACTGTTTCTTATATTTAGTGCGAAAACCGAATGAGTAACATTGATGTTCGTCGTCTTGTGTGTTTGGTCACTAACCCTTCATTGAAGAACTCTTCGAACTCGAACCAGCTAGATCATTTGCTCCGCACGCCAGTGAGCTGGTTGCCTCGAGATGTGTTGTTTTCCGTTATTTCGCTTGATTGGATGAAGCCACGAAGCATGGCGAAAGCGTATGCAAAATCTCATCGGATGTTAGGTTCATTTTGGATATTGCCAGTCTCTTGTATGCGATCCTGCGGGTTCGGTCGCATCAGTGGTTGGATGCAATCACGAAGTCAGTCATGCTGTTGCATCTCAGACTCTTGGTTATTTCCCCAGACTGCTTCGTTTCTTGCTCTTTTCTCTTGCTTTATTATTATCGTTGTTGTTATCATCGTTATTGCTTTGGCGACGTCAAGGTAGTTGAATTGACTTAGCTCGGTGCACGGATCAGAGCTGATAAACGGAATTCAACTGCTTGTTGCTTTCTTCTTACCAACATCTTCAGTGTTAGATGGGAGACTCATATTGCCCCTAATTTATCTTAACATACTTAGGAAGGGAGATATTAAGCTAACCGATTCGTAGGAATGCTTTGATACACAACCACCACAATTTAAGTTTGTGAATCTGGCTCTGCCTTGTGGCCCCAACTTTTACCGCCGGCTGAACTGGATCTGGTTTCACGTCTCATATGAAACCACCAATGTCGCCCAGATTTGCGCCATGGATTCGTACCAATTTGACTTCTCAAATAGGCATTTCGTTTTCAACTTCTTGACCCTTAGCGCCGATGACCTACCGGCTGCAAGAATCCAGCATCAGCCGTTACTTTGTGCTGATGCAGCGGATTTCTACTGGATACGTGATATTCCCCCATTGTTCGTTATAAAACAGGTGCTTGTTCGAAATTGCATTATTTTATTTATTAGTAAACTCACGTGTCAGAGATTCGCTTCAGATAATGTTGTTGGGCCAATGACGAAGCGTAGCCTGATAGAGTATTCCAACATTAGGGGGGGGGCACAATAAGGTGCGCACAGTGGTTGTACATGATACTGGATAACAATGGCACAGGCACGAACCTGTGTGGCACAACATTATTGCCATTTGAGGATCCAATATGCGAGAAAGACGCGCATCTTCTGCGTATTTCCCAGACCTACACACCATTTCTGTTTCTCTAACGTAGTTTCACGTGGATTAGACCGAGGTATTTACTTACATGTGTCGTGGGGTCTTTTATTATCTATGCTTCACTCGATTGATCTGGGTTTGCACTCAGAGGTGCACCACATTATTCCGACACAAGTACTATCCGCCGTGTTCCCATTTGGTTGGCGAGACAACGAAGCATCCCAAAGGTTTGTGAGATGCGGGATTATATTTGTAGAGCCTACAGCACTGACAGATCACGTGCTGTCGTTGGTCACTTGGCGATTTGATGAATAAGGGATTGCATGAGACGCATGTTACGAAGGCGACTACCGTAAATAAAAAGTGGGGTGCTGTTTCGGGTATTGTTAGGATGGCTGAACTGGTGCCGGGCGATTAAATTTACTTTTTTGTCCTTTTTAACTATGGTTGCTGATCGATGATGGTGAAATCGGCAAAGACAACGCTGCCAACTCTATCCGCCGATTCATTTCAGCTTAGGCAATAACCGGTTGCCATCTGCAGTTGAGAATGCTGAATGGTTGTGATTGCACTCACTGGTACGCATGAATGGTGCCCACTTCAGTGCGGCGCTGTATCGTTGTGGGAGTAGGAGCTGATTATCCAGCCGAAATGCTTATCGTTGCAATTGCCTGCATAGTGGCCAACGTGAACTGTCATTAATCCATTGAGTCACATCAACTGGAAGCATATGTGATGCTTCACAGTCTAGTATCGACAAGCTGAGGAAGTTGCACGTAACACGCTTCTCAGACCCTACTTGTGGAGCAAGCACCTGTGGCTGCCATCACAGGAGTTGCATTGCTATCCAAGTGCATGAGTTGAAACACCACCCTACACAATCGACTAGGGCTGGAGCGCTCTGGTTAACTAGATTATGTGCGCCATTTCACACGTGATTAATGACAGTTTAGCTAGTCGGTCACATGACCCCATACCTCAATGCGCGGCATGCACTGTTCACTAGCTTGCACTTTTGGATCCACAATGCACAGCTGTTCTTACACTTAAACCTCTCGAGCGTCCTACACCAAGACGTCACGTGTACGTGTGGCCACCGACTCTCCACTTGTAGGCTTCTGCAGCTGCAATGCACTGCGCCAAGTACATTTGATCCATAACGTATAGTTTCAGCCCCCACTGGCGTTGAATACTGAATACTGCAATTAGAGCGAGCTGTGTTGCTCCACCAGTTAGATCGGCGCACCTGCGCGGAATCACGTCGCCGATCCTGCGCGGTGGCAGCACATTAGAGCTGCATAATCTCTTATCCGGGTCCGATACGCTCCTTATACCTGTAATTCGCAACGTGAGCGACGGGGAATCCCTTAACTTCCTACGCCGATTTCGCCTCGATTGTTGTCTCCGGCAACTTTTCCAATATTTCACCACTCGACGCTCCAGACATAGAAGATGAGCGATACGCTTCCAATCCGGCACACCAGATTATACCGGTATCCGCGTGTGCTGCGAACGTGCGGCAGCGACCCCAACATAGGGAAGTGGCCCAGGCGCAATATCCGGAGCGTCATTATGAGATCAACTCGTGGACGGCGATAGGACAGGGTATACAACCCTATTCTCCTAGCTCGGTCCTCGTAGGACATACCCAGTAAACTGGTGATGAGCCAGATAGCGACATGCGGAACTCGTTCCAGTCTATGCACCTCACTTATTGTGATTGGACAATAGGCGAGAGAGCCGTATTCAAGCACCGGTCTTATCACGGGAGAACAGGCGAGTGACAATCTCTTCAGACCAAGTGCAGAATCTGCGTCTAGCGCCCAAAGCAGACGTAGTCCATTTCCCTACAGTCTGTTCGTATTGTCGACAGACTTCAAATTGCAGCGCGAGAGTACACATAGATAGTTTACGTAGCTTGTCGGATGCAGCGGTTGGCCGACTGATGTGTGTACCTACGCCCATTACCATCCTTACCCAGTCTCATAAACGACGACCTGACCGGATTGACCGGCAGATCAACAGGGACAGATAGACAAGGCCCTGCTATAGGATGTCACAGTCGTCGGGCGAATCAGTAACTCAAAATCTTCAGGTCGTCTGCAAACAGTGCACAGGGCGACCGAAGAAGCTGAGGTGCTTCGTTGATGTTTGTCAAAAACAAATTGGGCTCCAGTACTTTGTCTTGGGGTACGCCGCTAGTGGTGGTGTACCATTCCGTTAGGTGGTCATGCACTTGTACTAACCATTTTCTCCCAATGAGGAACTTACTGATCCACTGATGCAGTGCACCACCAACACCACAGATCCTCAGCTTGTGGAGCAAGACCTCATGGTTCACTTCATGAAAAACTTTACTAAAATTAACCTAGATAACGTCTACTGATTTCCCCCGGTTCAACACTTGCAGCCATCCGTGTCACGTCAACAGCAGGTTGATGATGCAGCATCTGCCCTTAATGAAACCGTGCTGTGCGGGCGTTAAGTCTTTCGACTTTAACAGCTGCAGAATCAGCGCGCGGTGGGACTCAGGTGCTAGGCGTAAAAGCGTTTAGTCTTGTAAGCGGCGAGGCACATCTGTTTTTGCGGTTTCAAAACCCCATTGACGCCTATCATGCTGGAATCAGACTCGCGTGGTACAATGTATTCGCATCAGACGCTTTGTTGACTGGCGTCATGGTCACAAC